TGTGTGTGTGTGTGTGTGTGTGTTGTGTGTGTGTGTGTGTGTGTGTGTGTATGTGTGATCAATATTTTCAAGGATTCTCTGCATACGTATGTGAGATCCACATACTTACCTCCGCAGTGCTTAGCATATAGCCAGTTGAAAATCGCGGTACGTGCACCTCCAATATGAAGGTATCCGGTCGGCGACGGCGCAAACCGAGTCACAACGGGTTTACTGGAAAGTGACATTTTGCAATTGTTTCTTCAAGCGCACGACTACGAGGATGGTACACTGGTATTGTAGCAGACGTCAATACCAAAAGAGATATTAATTTATACATACATATATACAATATATGCATAAATGTGATTTTTTTTTATATTATTGATATTTCCACACATCCCGCGTGAGAGGTTGCCGTTGATTGATTGTTCAAAAATAACGATCCAGTTCGGTACTGTGTTCGATGACGCGCCCATTTTGGCCCCTACTCCGAGTAGTATCGAGTATCGACTCTTCGACTGAGTCAAGTGTCAACTCCAACCCTCAGGCCCCAGCCCACTTGTACACGGGTACAATTTAAAAGTTAGATGTAAACGCTTTGTGCATTCGATTTTAGTACATAAATTACTGCAATACAGTACGTCAATAACTACATACTCTCTCTCTCTCTATTAGAGTCATAGACTCATACAGGAGTCAGGAGGTCGGGGGTCAAAAGGATAATATGTAATTTTAAAATAAAAGCAATCGACCAATTATAAAAACGTATACTTATGTAGCACATACATAGACATTTTGTAAAATAGTAACATACTCTCCCTCTCTACTCTGCTAGAGTAGTAGTTAAATAGTACATAGCTACTCTCTAGTAGTTCTCGATCAACTATATATTTTAGTACAGTCCTCGTAACTTGTCAACTTTTTAGTTGTCAAGTTTGATAAATGTTAACTTTTCATCTCGTGGGGTACATATTTATTTTTCCCTTGTTTAGGTGGTCCATACAGTGGTGTCATCTAATTTTGATCTTTCCATTGGTAATAAAATCAATATGTAAAGGCCTGAAACCAATAAAACTGATCATTTCATTTTAAGCCGTGGCGTCATAGCAACACCCACGTTTGATTTCTGATAGTAGTAATCGTACCAGAAAAGCACACAAAGTACAGACAGAGCCTCCAGTATACATACACAAATAGCGTATCATACACCCAGCCACAACCATGCATAAAACAACCAAACACAAGTATAAAGAGTTAGATATTGATGCGAAGAATGAGCTGATAAAGGCTGTCAAAGACAGTGGGTGGAGTTTCGACAGAGATTCGGTTGCAAATACGAAGAAAGAGCTATAAGATCAACGTCGAAAGGGTATGGTGTTCTTACCAAGGAAGATAAAGGACCAACACTGACACTGTTTTATTTTAGAAGGCTATGGACACAGATGAATGA